CCCTTAAAAGGAAGGTTAATAAAACCGAAGTTTCACATACAAAAATGGTTGAGCAAATACTCACTTGAATGTTTGTTTGCAATGCCATATGCATATGTGCACGTGCGTGCGCACCCACACATGCACCCTCTCCCCCACCCCGTCTTTTCTGCTTTTTCCAGGGGCTTATTAAATAGAAGTTAAGGACAATGTGTTTACCCCAGTTCAAAAGATCCTACCAGTATACTCAAGATGTAAATCCTGCAGATCTATAGTGAATAAAATAGATTGAAGTTGTTATGGTTTTGACTTGATCTGCATGAGCCATAGAGAAATTGGGCTGGAAGGGACCTCTAGAGGTTATCTAGTCCCAACCCCTCCTTTCGAGGCAGGATCATTCCTATCTAAACCATCCTGTACAAATCCATTGTCCAACATATTAGTAAAACTATGCAGTCAACTCTGACATAGGCAGAGGACATTACAGCTAACGTATTACAGCTAAAGCAGAGGGGACACGGTGGCCAATGTCCTGCTGCCTGAGATCCAAGGAAGAAGGTCATGCCTCCTGCTACAAAGGAAGGTAAACCTTTCCCCCCCGCCAGTGGGATAAAATTCCTTTGTGACCCCAAATGTGGCATTTGTGTTGACCCTGAGCAGAGAGGGCAAGACCTAGCCTGTAAGCTCTAGATTTGTCAGGAGCATTGGTATACCCCAGTCAAAATCCCCAGCCTTGGCTGCAGCCAACACCCAATGCTTCTGGGAAAGGTTGTGGGGGGGAAAATAAAGAAAACCCTGGCACACAGCAGCAGGATGGGGGAAAAAAATTACATTCTGGCCCCATATGGCAACCACAAAGCCTAGAAGCCTCGGAAATACCCATAGTAGGGCATAGATATAGCTCCTCCAGATCATTATTGACAGGAGTTGTCCAACCCAGTCTTGAACATCCCCAAGGACGGGGAGTCCACAGCTTCCCTAGGCATCTGCTCCATTGCCTCATTCTGACGGTGAAGAAATTTTTTTCCTGATATCCAGTCTAAGCCTGATTCACTGCAGCTTCATGCCATTAGTTCCCATCTACAGTAAGAGAGAAAAGGTGTTTTCCTTCTTCTTTATGGCAGCCCTTCAGATATTTGAAGACTGCTCTCATGTCCACGTTTAAGTACCTCTTCTGCATGCTAAGCATGCCTACTTCGTTCATCCTCTCCTCGAATGGCTTGCCCCCCAAGCCCTTTATCGTCTTTGTTGCTTGCCTCTGGACCCGCTAACTTCTTCATGTCCTTCTTAAAATGTAGTCCGAAACTGCACGTGGTATTCTACATGAGGCCTAATAAGTGCCGAGTACAGAGGCATAGGTGGATGAGGTTCTTTGGGTAAATCCGATATCGTTTATTAGACCAACTCAGATAGTTGGAAAAATTCTTCTTAGCAAGCTTTCGGGCACAAACATCCTTTGTCAGGACGAGGAAACATCTGCAGATGGTCATCGGCAGTCGAGAGGCATTATCATTTCCCATGTCTTGTACTTAATACTTCTGTTGATGCATCCCAAAACTGCATTTGCCCTCTGGACAGCTACGTCACACTGCAGACTCATTTGCAGTCTCTGATCTACCAAGACTTCTAGCTTTTTCTCCATAGTGCTGCCATCCAGTTGGGTGTCACTTGTTTTGCATTTGTTTAATTGTTCTTCCTTAGGTTTTGAATGGCATAATAGTTAATGGGTCCAAGTCAGCACCCCAAGCTGTTCTTATCTGTCTATCCCTGTTGGTCCTCTAGGATTGGACCTCTAGTGGTCCATTTTCACCTGTTGCCCAATGTTGAGACCTTTTAAAGCGGGTTTGATTTCTTTGCCAAAGATTTGTGCTCAGGTGCCCTATCGCAGTTCTTGAATGGCAAGAGCGGGTATGCTACTGAGGTATGACAAATGCTTAGTTTACGGAGAGGGGACATCTTTGCATTTTAAGCTGTAATGTAACGAAGCCTCAGAAGATGAGAGCGCTCTTGATTTGATGTCTTTCAGCAACCTGCACGTGAATTGGAGATTCAAATACTGATAAGGCTCCAGCTATCCTGTGTAGCTAATATACCGAATTAGCCTGACTCTATTTGCTGTCATGTCACTAAGGGGCATTGAACTGCTGAACATGCCACTGTGTGCATGGGAAATGAACTGAGCACCTAACTAATTGTGGGCATTCAAGATCAGTTTTCACTCTTTGAAAATGTTGTGGAATCTACCTTAGCTTGAATCCCATGAGTTGAACTCACTGTCTTTTATGCTTTTCCCCTCTAGTTTTCCTTAATATGTATTATTCATTTCATGTCCTAGACTATTACATAGCAGTGTTGTGTGCTGTTAAACAGGCCCGTACCTGGAGTGATTGCATTGTAATGATAGAGAACTTATTCCCCCCAAAATCTTTTCTTTTTTGTGGTGTCCTCCCCCCCAATTTAACAAAAATTTCTTAAATCCTTTATTCCTCTGGATTTTGCAGTGTTCCTTGCATAGTTCCTACCCACAAATCTTGCGCACCATCTCTTGTTTGTCTCCTGCTTAATATGTGATGATTAGGACTAATGGAGTGGTTGAGCCACATGCAGAGTATATGGTGCACAAAATAGTTTGGAAGTCCTCAGGGGGAAAAGTGCAATATAAAAGTAAATGTGGAGGTACAGACTGTAGGGTTTTGATAACTGCATGACTCAAGTGCTTGGTAAATCTCTCACATTTTCATGGACTGGTTGCCAAATGCATACTACACCATGTGTTTCCACTAAAACCTTCCTTGCAACTTCCACAAAT